GTGGCTGGCGCCTTAGCTGGTTGAGCTATAGGCGCCGAGCCGATTAAATTATTTTTGAAGTATACTCTTAAATATGAAAGGAAATTTAATAGCATTTAATAGAATATTATATACACATTATTTGTTCTTTCTTATACAGTATTTTAATTTTTATAGCATTTGAAACTCTTGACCACTTCTTCTAAAATTCATCTTATTCTCCTGGCTTTCTTGAGTTTCTACTGATTTTTTCTTGCTCTCTTTTTCTTCACTTTGCCAGTATCTTTGCATTCTTATTTATGGTTTCCCCTTTCCTCTGCCCCTTTCTCTCTTCTTTCTTCCTTTTACTAACATTTAGTGCCACATACATTCTAGCACTACCCTAGGTGATGGGCATACAGAGGTATGCAATACAAGACTTTTACTTCCCCAGTAAGTTAATGTTAAGTATCTTTGCAAATATTGATAAATGTTGAGATTATGCCATGTAATTATTTTTCAATTCTTGACTGAGGTCTTTTGAAGAGAGACTATACTTAATCTGCCCTTGGATATATAATGGAGTATAGTACCTATTATAGAGCATGGGCTCAATAAATGTTCATGATCCCTGAAAAATACATTGGTCTAGAAGTATGCTCTCCAATGTAATAGCCACTAGTCACATGAAGTTATTTAAATTAATAAAAGTAAATAAAATTAAAAATTCAGTTCTTTAGTTGTACTAGCAATATTTCAAGGATATAGTCACCAAAGGTGGCTACCATTTTCAGATAGTATAGATATACAGCATTTATAGCATTACTGAAAGTTTTATTAAACAGTCTCAGAGGATTGTTAACCTCTACATTCCATGGCTCTAGATTGTCTCCTGTCATTAGTTATATCTGTCCATTTTATGGTTTCTCTGCTTTTTTTCCTTGTCAGTTACCACTTAATGCTTCCATCTTCTAATTTGCTATTTTAGTATTTCTAGTTTTTAACCCAAATTTATCAAGTTTGTGACTCTGGCTGTCTTTAGTCTTTCATTGCTTCCAGATTTTCTGATTCTAGATTGAATTATATGTAGGTAAAGTGATGCGTAGCTAACTTGCTGATAAATTTTTGTAAATGCTTTCATGATTTTTTTGCATAAGTATTTTCTAAAGCAATTATATTCATACTCATTGTTTTCTCAGTGTACTCTACTTAAAAGCTAATTGATTCTACCTACAGTTTGCAATCTGTGCTGGAAGATCTCCTCGTTGCCACTTCTGATGGACTTCTTCATCTTATTCACTGGGAAGGAATGACAAATGGAAGGAAAGCTATTAATCTTTGCACAGTACCATTTTCAGTAGACCTGCAGTCATCCAGAGGTAGTTATACTTTCTGTATGAAGTAGAACCAGTTGTTTAATAGTTGATATCTAGTTAGATAACTTCTGTGGATGAACATTAATTGTTTTATCCTTTGGAATTAATTATGCAAGGAGAGGAAGAAAACATGAGGTAGTAAGAGAGAGTGAGAGAGGTTACAGCCATTCAATAGGAAAGGATAGTTTAATTGTTTAGGATTATTACATTATTATTTTTGCCCTTTTACCTTAAAAAGTTTGCAAGCAAAATATGAAAGAACAGTTTACTGTATTATTATTTAAATGATCCTGTTTCATGTTCTTATATTTTTCATCAGTAGGTTCATTCCTGGGCTTTACAGATGTACACATCAGAGACATGGAATACTGTGCCACACTTGATGGGTTCGCTGTTGTGTTTAATGATGGTAAAGTTGGATTTATTACACCAGTGTCAAGTAGATTTACTGCAGAGGTATGGCTTATTTTCTTGGAATGTTTATTTTCTTTATTTTACATTGATTAATTTTACTTGTTATTAAATTTTTCTCTGTTTATTCATAAAAGGTTTGAGGAATTTTTAAGTTTTTAATCAAAATTGTACATATAGTATAAGTAGACACAATTCTATTAGACATGTTTTAGAAAAATGATGATTCTTTCTCATGTCATGCTATTTTTCAATTTTCAGACAACTGCCTTTTTATTCCTTTGCTGGTTATTTTGATAACATACCTACACTAATGAGTATTTTCTTTTATTTTTAGGTTTTAGTATTCCCACCACATTCACATATTCTTTCCATATTTTATATCTAGTCATTTTGATTAGGTTACTGTTTGTTAGATTGTTATCAGTGTGTAAGCTCTTTTGTTTGTTACCTGTGCCCTGTAGTGTATTTTTCCTTCCACTAGGAATTAATAATTGTTTTTTTCTTTACATTTGTTTCGTTTTCATGTACTTGCCACTTACTCAGCCTAAAACTGTCTTAGTTTCTTCAAGTGTATTATGTTTTCAATGCATTTCTTCTTCTTAAAGAAATTTCAATAAGAAATTTATGCTTTCTGACCTGCTCTAAACGGATTGGTTGCTTACTACGATCCACCCTTAACACAGCTGTATTTTTCGGTTTTCCATCATCATCCTGAGGATTCCCTTTACTTTCATTTGTGTGAGATGCTTTGATAGCTAATGGATTTTGCTTCTGTGACAGAGACTCAAAATGAAATTGAATTCATTTGGTGGGTTTAATCGACTGTCGTCTTTAATATAGGATGACCTGAGTGAGTTATTTCCTTGGGAGGCATCTGTTTTAGAGTCATTCCCTTTGCCTGTCCCTTTTTTCCCCCTCCACGCCCCTCTGTCTTCAGTGTTCCTGGTTACTCTAATAGTCTAGAATTTGAATTACAGAAAGGTTATGAGGGTCCAAATTCAAGATGTGAATCTTTACTTCCCATCCCTGTTTCCAGCATGGTCCATAGACCTCTGGAATTGTGGGTTTTTCCAAAGAAAAATGTCCAGTTTTATATTGGAGTGGAGGTGAATTTCTTGGCTTTTCAGTATTGAGAAAGTGTTGTGGGAGGGACCCAGCTGCTTCTTAGATGTGTTTTAAACCAATGCTACTGGTTTTAGCACAGACCTTTATTAGAGACAGTTGAGTTCTCAAGCTTGTTGTGTACCTTGCAAGGTAAATTTAGAAGTTTCATAGCACGCTTTACTGCCAGTTAAGGATTTTACTCATCCGTGTGCCTTCTAGCTTCCAAAATTTTGTAATACTGCCTCTTCTGCCATTCTTTGTCTTTGCCAAGTCATACTTTAAAAAAAAAAATCTTTTTTGTTGTAAAGATTGGGATTTTAGTAGTCAGTGAAGCTAAATATTCATATTCAGTCTGTTTTCTTTTAATTGGAAAGAATTTTAAGTTTTTAAAGTTCTTTTTGGTTGACATTCTAAATATTGTTTTTAACATTAATGTTCCTAATGAATATTTCCCATTATGAGCTTTATTCAAATAGTAAGGCACTAAATAATACATTTGTGATAACTTATATCAATATCTAATCAATAAGAAAATTTTGAGAAAGGAGAAAATCTCTCTCTTTTTTTTTTTTTTTTTTTTTTTTTAACAACGTGTGTCTATAGGTATACAGGGCTGTCTGGAAAATATCCAGCCCCATATATCTCCTTTTTTCATATTGCATGACTGGATACTTTCTAGACAGCCCTCATACATATTAGCTAACGTAATTATGTCTGGGACTTAAATATTTATACTGAAAACAAAATTATTAGGGTTGAAAAAGTGCCTGACTCATTTCTGAGTACTTTAGAGTTAGTTCAAAGCATGTTGATGGCATTTATTAGTATGTGATTAAAGAAATTTTTCCAATAAATTAAGTATTTAAAAATAATGAAAAGCACATGGACATGATTAAATAGGTTACAAATAGAAAATGTAAATCTCAAGAAAACAATACATATTGTATTACTGGTAATTAAGAAATGACTAAATGGCATTTAACAGATATGTTAAAATATGTCAGATTATTCCAATCCCTTGTTGAGAATTGTTCTGAGATAAAACCTGAGGACTTAAAAGAGCTAGAGAAAAAAATTTTTTTTAATTTGCTCAAAGGCTTTGGAAAGCTAAGAAGACAATCAAGGACTAGGTGAAAGGAGGCTGGAGACATAGTATTTGAGTCTATAGTGAGCATGAACAAACTAGGCTATATGTACCAGCATGGATAGACTGCACATGTTAAGTGAAAGCAGATAAATACACGAATACCTGCTGTGAATCCTTTTTATGAAAATTAAAGGGGAAATAGAAACAGCAGTTTTAAATTAGAGTATATAGGACTGCATGTCTAAAGGGTAATGGTTTAAAGGGAAAGGGGAAGTTAGCACCATGTAAGTCTGCATATTTGTTCCTTGGGCACTATTGGAGGACTTTTGGGTGCTAATAATTCTTAGCCTGAGTGATAATTCCAGAGATGTTCACTTCATGCTACCCACATATCGTTGAGATGTACATTTTTGTTTTGTGTATTACTTAATGTGCTATCATTCATAATAGAAAAGGTTAATTATTTTTAAATATACCAGTGTCTCCTATATATAACTTGGGAGACAAAACCCAAAATTCTTACAGTAGCCTTTAAAGCACTATTTGGCCTCTTATTATATCTCTTACCTCATATACTACTTTTATTTGCCTGGTCCACTCCTCACAGGCCTCTTTGCTATTGTTTGAACATGCCAGAAATGCTACTACAATAGGGCCTTTGTATTTGCTTTCTTTCAGAACTTTCCTCAAAAGGCACTTTCATAAGGAAACTTGTTTAATATTATACTCTTACTCCATATTCCCTCTTCACCATAATTGCTTTATTTTTTAATAGCATTTACCAAACTCCAACATACTGTAATACTTTCTTAACTTTTCTATCTCCTAACACAAATGTAAAGCAGGGATACAAGTAGGGATTTTGGTGTGTTTGGATGCCTGCTGTATTCTCAGCATCGGAGCAGTGCCTGATGAATTTCAGGCTAACTAGTGGTCCAAAGAAATAACATCAATGCTAAGTTGCCATTTTCTGTTATGTAAAATGTCTATTTTTTACCATTAAAATGAAAAAATAAATAAAATCCACACTAAAAAATTGAAATATTCCATATTGAGACAGTAGATTAAGTGTATTATGGTTCAGAGGGTTATGATTATATTCTAATGTTTACTGTCAAGATCTTTAAAAAAGTTTAAGGCTAGAAGGGGCCTAATGAAAAAAATAAAGCTCTACTATTATTTATTTAAATGTTTAAATTATTATAGTGTGCTACTTTTGTGTTTACTATTAAACTAATAATCAGGACCTTTCCCTTGGAATCATAAAATGTTCGTGACTAGGCAAATAAGAATAGACAACTGAGCTGAAACTATTCTGTATTTGTATACAGAATTAAATAGCATATAAGCTTAATAATGTCATTCATCCTTATTGAATAGTTGGAATTGTACTAAATAGTTTACATGTATGTTCTCCTTCAATCTTTGAAAGACCCTGAGAGGTAAGTGAATTGCAGATAAGAAAACTGAAGCTTGGAAAGGTCAAATAATCATTTTAGGGAGAAAGGAGACCTGCGCTGTTATGTCATACTGTTAACTATTTATATTGTAAAGCAAGGGAACTACAGGGAAGTGGTAAACAAATCACGAATTACTCCTAAAGGATAAACTAGATAAAATTTACTACCTTCCAGCGACTAGGAAGTTAAACACTATGTGCTAAGTGATGGGAATAATAGTAGGCAAGTTAGATGTTGTTTCTGCTCTTAAGAAGTTCACATTCTAACAAAAGTTCCTCTTTATTTAATTTGAATTTCCATTTTCTAGCATTTTTTAATAAATAGATTAGCACTGGATTGAACTTAATTTTTTTTTTTTTTTTTTGCAGTTCTTTTGGCCAGGGCTAGGTTTGAACCCATCACCTCTGGCATGTGGGGCCGGCACCCTACTCCTTTGAGCCACAGGCGCCGCCCTGAACTTAATGTTTATTGAATAATTAATGGAAAGCTTGAGGTTATAAGGGAGAATATATAGGTGGTGGTCCTGATGGGATATTTTGCTATGTAGATAAAATAAAGCCTTATGAAACTGAAACTATATGTTTATTGAAGGAAAATTACAGTGACTAAAGTAAATTTAGGGGAATGCTTTTTAAGCCTTAACTTTTTTTTTTTTTTTTTAATAGCAGCTTCATGGGGTTTGGCCACAAGATGTTGTTGATGGAACATGTGTAGCAGTAAATAACAAGTATCGACTAATGGCATTTGGTTGTGCAAGGTAATTGACAGAGAACTTTGAAGGATTATTGCCCAAAATAGTGTTTTTCAAATATAAGATATCCTTACTGGCTTGGCGCCTGTGGCTCAAGCGGCTAAGGCGCCAGCCACATACACCTGAGCTGGCGGGTTCGAATCCAGCCTGGGCCGCCAAACAATGACGGCTGCAACCAAAAAATGGCCGGGCGTTGTAGCGGGCACCTGTAGTCCCAGCTACTTGGGAGGGAGAGGCAGGAGACTCACTTGAACCCAGGAGTTGGAGGTTGCTGTGAGCTGTGATGTGACAGCACTCTACCCAGGGGGATAGCTTGAGGCTCTGTCTCAAAAAAAAAAAAAAGATATTCTTACTATGCTTATAAATCTTATCATGTTTATCATAATTCATGAATCAGCCTTAATATGAAATATGAAAATGTTTTATTAGATTGAAGCAAACAAAAGTAAATGGCAAATTTTAGAGGTAGAATATTTTAATTTATACAACTGAGCTTTTCTTTAGTGGTAGAACATCAAAATACAAGTTAAAAGAATAGATAGCTAAAACTTAGATTTTTTATTGTTTAAAAGAGGATGTGGAAGATATTTTTCCTTTTTAAAATCCTTGTTAAGACATCAGTATTGGCTTGGCACCTGTGGCTCAAGCGGCTAGGGCGCCAGCCACATACACCTAAGGTGGCGGGTTGGAATCCCCAGCCTGGGCCTGCCAAACAACAATGATGGCTGCAACCAAAAAATGGCCAGGCGTTGTGGCGGGCGCCTGTAGTCCCAGCTACTTGGGAGGTTGAGGCAGGAGACTCGCTTGAGCCCAGGAGTTGGAGGTTGCTGTGAGCGTGATGCCTTGGCAATCTACCCAGGGGGATAGCTTGAGGCTCCGTCTCAAAAAAAAAAGTTAACAAACAGATAAGGTTTGTTAACCTTTGTTAACAAACAGATTTAAAGCTCACACACATAACAAGCAGTTTTTTTAATTCACATGATGAAGATTTTAGAAATAAAATTGAGTAAAATTATTTATTGATCAAATATCTGTGTGGCTGTCATTACCAAAACAGTTCTAAACATTTAGGATACATTAGAAAACAAAAATAACCTGACTTTGTTGAGCTTATATTTTAACTTAAATAAAAAGATTATTTCACTCAGCTGTACAATGCCTTATAATGTGTATAGTGTTTTTTAGTTTTCAAAACTCTTTTTTAGATATAAAATTCCATTTTACCCTCAATGAGATGTGATTGTTTTATAGAACCTACATCTAGCATGATCTTTAGCTACATAATCTCCATGCATGTATCAAAGGGGTTTTTTAATATTATAAGTGTTCCTCATATTGTAAATCATTTTCATTTACTCTCAGTAACCTCTGTGGAAAGTGGCGGATCCTTATCATTGACTTCAACTTGTTTTCAATACATTGCTTCTCACTGAGCAGTTAAATGTAGAGATATATATGTACGTTTAACTTAGTATAAGAAAGAAATGTGTTTTTTTTTTTATATTCATGAATTTAGGTGAATTGTGTTTGGAATTTTTAAATCTATGTTTATGAATACTTTTTGCCTATACTTTCCTATTTTTACTCTGATTAACCAAGGCTGTGCTTTTCTCATGAACAAGTTGAAGAAGGAATCCTCTCTTTCAAAGATCTTTGAATGTGTGGTAAAGTCTGTCTAGAATTATCTGGACCTGGAATTTTCTTCTTGGGACTTTTTTGGACTGCTAATTCCGTGCAGTTTTAACAATAGATTTAAGAAGATTCAGATTTTCTTTTTCTTTCTTTTTTTTGATAAGTATACCATTTGGGGCTCGGCGCCTGTGGCTCAAGCGGCTAAGGCACCAGCCACATACACCTGAGGTGGCGGGTTCGAATCCCCAGCCCAGGCCCGCCAAACAATGATGGTTGCAACCAAAAAAATGGCCGGGCGTTGTGACGGGCGCCTGTAGTCCCAGCTACTTGGGAGGCTGAGGCAAGAGACTCGCTTGAGCCCAGGAGTTGGAGGTTGCTGTGAGCTGTGATGCCCTGGCACTCTACCCAGGGTGATAGCTTGAGGCTCTGTCTCAAAAAAAAAAAAAAAAAAAAAAAATATATATATATATATATATATACCATTTGGGAAAGATTCAGATTTTCTGTCTCTTAAGACGTCTTAGTAAGTTGTATATTTCTAGGAATTGGTTTTTTCCACATACACTATGAAAATTTATTGGCATAATAATGTCCTTTTTAACTGTAATATTGTGAAATAAAAACATTTGTGCAAAATAGTATATAATTAAGATATTTAGTTTAACAAATAATTGCAGTACAAACACTCATTTGATCACAAATGGATTAAGAAGCAGAACATTGCTTCTATCATCAGCTCCCCCTACTGCTTCCCAATCACAGCTCCTTTCTACTCCCTGACTCACTTAGTAACATGTTTTCTGTCTGTTGTAATAATCTTTTTTACCACTGTGTATACATTCCTGAAGAGCATAATTATAAGTTTTGCTCAATTTTTAACTTTATGTAAATAGAATCATATTTTATGTCTTCTTTCAGTCAACATTGTGAGATTCATCCATGTTGTTTGCCAGTAGCTGTAATCATTTTTAAAACTGATTTATAAATAGTGTCCCAGTTTTTGAGAATATAATAATGTGTCTACTTGGCTACTGATGAACATTTCTATTATCTCTTGGTTTCCAAACAAAGAGACATTCTCTTATATAAACCCAGTAACTTTATGTAACACAAGATAATGCTGTCTCTAATAGGATCTAACACCCCATTCATATTCAAATTAACCCAGTTGTCACCAAAATATCTTTTATGGCTCCTTTGTTACAGCCAGACTCCATCAAGGTGCATTGATTATATTTGTTTATCATTTCTCCTTAGTTACCTTACCTCTTTTTCTTATTTTCATACCATTAACTTTTTAAATGTCTAGGTCTATTCTTTATAGAATGTCCTCATGATGACATTTAGTAAGTTTCTATGATGCCTGTAATGACTAAGCTGGAAGCTGGTTCTTGGTGAGTAAATATAGTCAAATGACTGAACAGCTCAAACATCAGGCTTAGAAGAGCATTTAGAAAAAACTCACATACAGGATTAGTGCCAAGTGTGCACTTCCCACATTACCGGCATTCAGGGCTAGCTAGCTCCTGGTACCAAGCTATTAGAATCTGGATAAGGTACTCCAGCCCTAGGCGATGTGATTAGGAAGTACTAGCCTTTTCCCCAGGAAATCTTGGCTTACAATCTTTCAGTCACCTGTTTTCATCATATGGGAGACTCCAGGCTCTCCTGCTGACATTATCCTGGGGATAGGGTTAAAGTTTTCTGACTGTAGCTGTGTGACATGACATAAACTAGTGGCTTCTAACCCTGATCTGCCAGCACTTACCTTGACTAATTGCCTTGAATACCAGGCTATTGCTGCTGTCCTTAAAGTTCTATAAGAAGCCAGCTTGCTTTTAGGATGCCAGTTTGCAGAGGATCAGTCTTGAACAACCTAACTCTTTTAGATTTAAAGGTTTTTATTAGACTTTGGTTACACATTTTTGTCATAGGTTATGATGTGTACTTGCTGTCGTATCATTCAGCAACAGTGTCGTCCCACTATGAACAATGTTATTTTGATCACTTATGGTGACAGTAGCCATATCTGTATTACAGAGATGATTTTTGGTTTGGAATTAGTAAGTAGTATTTTTTTTTTTTTTTTTTTTTTTTTGAGACAGAGCCTCAAGCTGTCCCCCTGGGTAGAGTGCCGTGGCATTACAGCTCACAGCAACCTCCAACTCCTGGGCTCAAGCGAGTCTCCTGCCTCCGCCTCCCAAGTAGCTGGGACCACAGGCGCCCGCCACAACGCCCGGCTATTTTTTGGTTGCAGCCGTCATTGTTGTTTGGCGGGTCCAGGCTGGGGATTCGAACCCGCCACCTTAGGTGTACGTGGCTGGCGCCTTAGCCGGTTGAGCTATAGGCGCCGAGCCGTAAGTAGTATTTTTTAATGAAAAATACTTTTCCTTTCATAATGAGCTGGAGAAATTGAAAGAAAAATAATTTTTAAAATATAGGCATTATAGGATACTTAAAAGATTGTCAGCCTTTCATAGTAGTGACTTAGCACCTCTTTCTTTTATTATAAGTATTTAGACTCTTAGAGTTCAGCAGCCCAGGGTTAGCAGTTGATAGTTGGCAGATGCAAAGCAAAAGCAACTAAATATACCCACTATCCACTTTGTGTTATCTCTCAGAAAGAATCTATTTGGGCAGGTAGCTGGAAATCTTTTCCTAGTATTTAGCTTCTGACTAAGGTGGAATAACAAATCATGTTTTTTTCTACCCACCTAACACAATCAAGAAAATTAACAAAAATATGAAACAACTGTTTTCAATTCAAGGCATGAGGCATAAGGTAACAAAAGACAATGATCCATCAAAGATGATAAGACAAAACAAGCTCTGCAACTGCCTCTGCTCTCATTACTTTGAGAGTATTTCTAGGGTGCAGCACAACACAGAGAAAGGGAGACAGAGTACGTGGAAATAAAAGTAACACATTAAGAGAAATCACCCAAGATGAGACATAGAGAAGAAGAATAAAAAAACAGCATCAGTGAGCTGTGGGACAACCATGAACAGCCTACTATTTTAGGTACTCTTACTTAGTCCCAATCCTTGAGAAGAGGTAGATCCTAGCTGGCAAAGAAACAAAGGAACAAAGCTACTGTGAGGAAACCATCTTATTTCTTCTACCATAAAAGTGCCAGAACATTCTCACAGTCTAAAACAACTGTCATACTATTATTTACAAAAGCAATCTTGGATTAAAAAGTGTTTTAAATGACCCTTGAATGGTGCAAGGATTAGGCGTACCTATAACTTTTGACTACCCCAAATTTGTGTTATAGTTTCTGTTAACTAGAAGCTTTATTAATGACATAAACAATCAATTAACAATGTATTTTATATCATGTTCATATTACAAACTGTAAAAAAAAGTGTTTTAAAAAAGTTTGTCTTTTTCATTATTGTAGTGTTGTAGTAATGTTGCAGAAGTAGTCAACTTAAGTAGAATCCTCATTTCAAATACTGAATGCACATTAAATTATTTTATTGTTGGGGATTCATTTTTTAATGATCATTATAGTTCAATTTTGGAAATGTAGCTTAGAAGTAATAGATATTTTTACTTTTGGTTTCAAACCCCTCATAAATTTGACCCTTGTAAAAATTGACTTTGTTTTTGAGATAGGGTCTTAGTCTGTCTGCCAGGGTGGAGTGTAATGGTATGAACACAGCTCACTGTAGACTTCGACTCCTAAACTGAAGTGATCCTCCCGCCTCAGCCTTCCAAGTAGCTGGGACTATTGGCATTCACCACCCTCACTCCCAGCTAACTTTTTTATTTTTTGTGTAGATATCCTTCCAAAGAGCTGGGATTATAGGCACCAGAGCAGTCACTAATCTGAAATTTGTACACTTTAGCTCTTTACAGTATTCCTACCACAAATTTATTTAATTAGTAACATATATTTAACTATTCTATATGCCAAATATAAAGTATATATAAAATATAAATATATACATATATATTTACTATGCTTTATATATAGAGAGAGCAAATATATGTTTATATAGTTGACCTTTGAACAACATAGAAAGTTAATGGCACTGACCTCCCTCACACTTGAAAATCTGCCTATAATTTTTGATTCCTTAAAAACTTTTTAACTACTAATCTACTGTAGAAGCCTTATTATTAGCATAGAGTTGATTGTTTTATATTGTTATCTATAGATATGTATATATATAATGTTCTTATAAAATAAGCTAGAGAAAAGAAAACATTAAGAAATGATCAGGAAAAGAAAATATATTTACTGTTCATTTAGTGAAAGTGAATCATCAAAAGTTTTCAGGCCCAGCACCCTTACTCAGAGGTTAGGATGTCAGTCACATGCACTGAGACTGGCAGGTTCAAACCCAGCCCCGGCCTGTCAAACAACAATAACAACTACAACAAAAAAATAGCTGGGCATTGTGGCAGGCTCCTGTAGTCCCAGCTTAGGAGGCTGAGACAAGAGAATTGCTTAAGCCCAGGAGTTTGAGGTTGCTGTGAGCCGTGACACCATGGCACTCTACCAAGGACAACATGATGAGACACTGTCTCAAGAAAAAAGGTTTTTATCATCTTCATGTTGAGTAGGCTGTAGAAGAGGAAGAGTCGGTCTTATTATCTCAGGAATGGCAGAGGGAGAAGAAAATCTGTGTGTAAGTGGACCCAGACAGTTCAAACCATGTTATTCAGGGTCATCTGCATTTACTATCCATGTTAATGAATGCGGCTAAAGTCCATTCATTTTCAGTGCTAGGTGCTGTAATACTCTAAGACTATACTAGCTTATTTTTTCTTTCTCTTGTTGCTGGACATTCAATTAAACACAATAGTACAGTGAGCATGATACATGTTTCTAATAAACATTAGACAAGAATTCTGGGATATAACGAAGAATGAAATTGCTAGATTAGAATATGCATTTGTTCAAATTTTTAGATGATCTCCAATTATTTACAAAATGGTTCTGTTCTAGTTTATACTTTTACTAGCAGAACAGAAGAGTTCTGATAATAATGATTTTCTATTTTGTGTTTTGTATTTGTGTTTTTTCACTCAAAGATTTTTTGTTTTCACAGTGGTTCTGTGCAGGTTTATACAATAGATAACACCACGGGAGCCATGCTGCTGTCTCATAAACTAGAGCTAACAGCAAAGCAATATCCTGGTGAGTTGGTTTTTTGTTAGCATTTTAATGTATGGGTAATTCTGAGTATAGTGAATGCTAGTTTAAACTAAACAGTACATACCATGCTGCTGGTCAGATACTGTAGGGCACATAACAATATTCCGTGGTAACCCAAGGATTTCTATGTAACTAGAGGGGCTCCAGGGATATTTCTTTTATTCATTCAACAAATATGCTAAACACTGCTCTAAATGCTGTATATACAATAGTAAACAAAAATCTCTTCATGAACCATTGGTGAATCTTTGATATGCATAAGATTATGGCTAAACTCTTTGGTCACTGGAAATGCTTTTGATTGAAACTAATAGAAAACTCAACTTACTATGGCTTACAAATAGAATTTATTTTCTCAAATAGCAAGAAATCCAAAAGTAAGCTGCTGTTGGCCTTTTGTTCACAGTCACAAGTTAGCTCCTGAGCTCTAGTCATTTCTTTTGCAATTGAGTCAAGAAGAAAGGAGGGGCTCAGCACCCATAGTATAGTGGTTATGGTGCCACCCACATACACCGAGACTGATGGGTTCAAACCCAGCCTGAGCCAGCTAAACACCAATGACAACTGCAACAGAAGATAGCCGGGCGTTGTGATGGGTGCCTGTAGTCCCAGCTATTTGGGAGGCTAAGGCAAGAGAATTGCTTAAGCCCAAGAATTTGAGGTTGCTGTGAGCTGGGACACCACGGCACTCTACCAAGGGTGACATAATGAGACTCAAAAAAAAAAGAAGAAGAAAAGAGGAAGCAGGACATATCTGATTTTTTGATCAGGAAAGCAAAACTTTTCACAGAAGCATCCCCACCTCCTATATTCCATTTAGGATTCAAGGAAAACTTGGAAAGTGTTAGTTTTTTCAAGCCTTTATGGCAGAAGTGGGCAAGGGAGAAGGAAGATACACAATAGGTGAATAGGTATTAGATTAAACAACCAATACTGTTAACACATACTTGGGATATAAGACCTTTTGTGAAATCCGTTTCTTGGTTCAGTCTACATTTAATGTCTCTAAATTTTACAGTACTATTGGGTTAAAAGAAATGCTATAAGTTCTTTTTATTAAGTAGTTCTAAACAACTTAATAAGTATCTATGTGTTAGTAACCTACTAAAACTTTTTTTAACTAGAGTAAATGGAAAGAAGTAATATTTTCATCTCATTGTTAAATATAATATTTTACTAATGGAATTTGTCTTCCTGATGGTGCCCATAGCTCGGTGAGTTGGGCTCTACCCACATACACCAAGACTGACGGGTTTGAACCCTGCCTAGGCCAGGTAAAACAACAATGAGAACTGCAATAAGAAAGAAAAAAAATAGCTGAGCATTGTGGTGGGCACTTGTAGTCCCAGCAGCTTGGGAGGCTCAGGTAAGAGAAATGCTTAAGCCCAAGAGTTTGAGATCACTGTGAGCTGTGACACCAAGGCACTCTACTGAGGGCAACATAGTGAGACTCTGTCTCAAAAAAACAAAAAAAGGAAAGTGTGTTCCTCTTGGGTCCTGCACAGTTTCTCAAACATTGAGTCAAATTGGGACAACCCGTATTTCCTGTTATACATTGATTTTCACAAAGCCATTAATTTTATTAATTAAAAATTATTAATTTATTATTTATTGTTATATTGAACACCCAGCTTCACAAAGGTGTAACACTAAAATGAATTTCAACTGTGAATTACATATAGCTGGTAATTTACATTGTGACTATTACACAGATATTGTCCTATAGCAATATTAGTAATTGGGAGCATTTTTCCAAACTGTGTCTGTTCTGTTTTCCCCCAACTTTGGATGTGCTTCCAAATTAAGAATAATTGCCATAGACTCTTCAAATTTCTCTGGTGTTTGGGATCAGAAAAAATGTCCAAAAAAAGTTGAAAGTTCTGATGTAAATCTGATTTAATAATAAAGATCTTACTAGTCTCAAGGAAGAAACTGAAACATTTCATGTTAAAATTCCAATTAGACATTAAAATACTAACTGTTCATGTTGACTTAGTGTTATCCACATATATACACCAGTATTTTTGCCCACCATTTTTTTTTCACCAACTCATACCTTCTACTTGAGACCACTTTCTGCCTTTAATACATCCTTTCAGATTTCTTTTAATGAAGATTTTTGATGGTAAACTATTTGGGGAGGGAGGTCTGAACTGGATTTATTTTGCCTGATAATTTAATTACAGTTTAAATTGGTGTACAATTTTCAAATGACAGTTATTTGCTTTGTCTGCATTGAAAAGTTGTACCAGTGTAATTGGATTTCCATTGATAGTATTGGGAAGTCACCAGATTATATTTTCTTTTCAGATTAGTCTTTTCTCTATAGCTACTTCAAAGATTTTCTCTTTGGTATTCTGCTTTTTCACTACAAAATGGAAGATGAAGAATTTTTTTGTTTGTTGGATTTATTAAAATCTTGGTTAAGATTCAAAATTGATGGAAGAGAATTCATCTTTCAGCTGTTCTGGAAAATTCTCATCCTTTGTCTCTCTCTGAATATTGCCTTTCCCCAATCTCTTTTACTGGAACTCTGGTTAGCTTAGCTATGTACTGATTCTCTATTCAGCTATATCTAATGTGTTTAATCTGTCCATTGAGTTTTTCATTTCAGTTATTGTATTTTTGATTTCTAAAGAATTATTTGCTCCTTTTCCAATCTCTGTGCTTCTTGCTCCTAGTTTTAGTTTTCTTTTTTATTTCTTTAGGTGTAAAAAGCATTGCTATTTTATTATATATTCTATGTTCTTTAATTCCATTATCTGAAGCCTTTCTGAGTCTGTTTACACTGTGTCTTGGTTCTTTTGTTTCTTGCTCATTTGTTTGTTTATTTTAAGATTTTTGACTTAGAGCCAATTATTTTCCTCGAAAATTGTTTGTGTGAGTGCTTTGAGAACTGGATGGCATTTGAATTCTTCCAGAGAGGATTTTTGTATGTTTTTGCTGGTCACCTGGGAGTACTACATCATTCTGGAGCCCTTTCCATCGTATTCTCTGTTTTAGGGTGTTTTTTGCACAAATTATAAATTAGGGTGAGGGCTGGCTTGTGGCTACAGATTAGTAGGAGAGCTTTATTTTTAGTTAAGTACCATGAGTAAAACATGAAAATGTTCTTTGCTATTTATTTTTTTTCTATATAGCAGAAGTTTTTCTAATTTTCTCTTATCCATGGTTGTAGCTCTTTGTAGTCTCAGCTTTACATGGGTATCTTTTAATAGGTTACTTGCCTTGGACAACCTCTGTCTGTCCCTAACATGCTATGATTCCTCAGAGGTAGAAGTCACTAAGTTTCCAGAGTTTGGCTAAAAAAAAAAAAAAAAGAAACTCAGGGAAAAAGCCCTTTGTCTTTTGGTTATTTCAAGGTATTTAAGTATTCTATTCAATGTCTTAGTTGTTGCAGTATGGAAAGAAATTCAGGGTATACTGCCAGAAATAGCAGTTGTTGTTGAGTTTTTATCATTCTTACTATATAGCGTTTTTAAAGCCCTGCATATATTTTTCTCTACAGGCAGTTTCTGCTGTAACTTTATCCTGTTGCACCAAAACTGGTTTGTGCAAAGCCAAATACTTTTAGGATTATACAGTTATTCAAACCAGTAGTGGCCAGAAACAGCTTTCTTTTAGTCACCTGTACACTGAATTTGTTCTGCCTAGATAAGACCAAAACTAAAGGCCTTACTACTTTTAAATTGCCCTAAATGTGCAGCATTCTTCTATTTATGTGAACAGTCATGCCGTTCTGCACATTTAGATTTAAAGGTAGTAGACTATAAACAATACCAAATAGTTCTGAAGCAATTACTTATTTTTAACAGATATTTGGAACAAAACAGGAGCTGTCAAGTTGATCAGATGGTCTCCAGACAATAGTGTTGTGATAGTGACCTGGGAATGTGGAGGCCTTTCTCTGTGGAGCGTGTTCGGAGCACAGCTGCTTTGTACACTGGGAGGAGATTTTGCGTAAGTTAAGCTCTCACCTAGTGGCACGATATAGGGCTCCGAGGCACACCTCCTGGTGAAGGGCTCAGCTGCAACTTGGACTGTACCTAACAAACCCAAACAAAGTAACCTAATCATTTGCATCAGTATGAAATTTTTAAAAAAAGGAGGGGGGGGAGAATAGTTTAAAAACAAAGTTGATCTAATACCACCTCTGCTACCAGAATGAATAAATCTGTGAGAAACAATCTAGCCTTGCATAGAAATTGCTATTCTGGCTCAGTGCCTATGGCTCAACCGGCTAAGGCGCCAGCTACATACACCTGAGCTGGCGGGTTCGAATCCAGCCCGGACCCACCAAACAACAATGACGGCTGCAACCAAAAAACAGCTGGACATTGTGGCGGGCGCCTGTAGTCCCAGCTACTTGGGAGGTGGAGGCAGGAGAATCACTTGAGCCCAGGAGTTGGAGGTTGCTGTGAGCTGTGATGCCATGGTTCTCTACTCAAGGCGACAGCTTGAGGCTCTGTCTAAAAAAAAAAAAAAGAAAGAAAGAAAGAAATTGCTATTCTAAGGACACTTTATTTTGTTGCCAAAATATATTAGTAATTTAAAGTGCATATTAGCCATGTACCTAAATAATAAGTAGAAAGTTATATTATCTCATTGATTAATGCAGGTTAGCCCAATGGTTGATTGGAGTGTGCTGATACCTCTACCTACCTTATATACAGTCCTGATAAAATGAGGATACTTTTCCAAACCACATGATTCTATCAAGAAGTCATTTGGACTTGGAAAAATGTGACTAAGTGATACTTAGATGTATTAGCCTACAAACCTATAGTTTTGTATTTCATGTCTTACTATACATTTCGTTTTAAGGAGTGAAATCAATTTGATTTTTAAAAAATGAAAGTTAAATATTATATGTAATTGGAAGCTCTATTAAATTTGGTTTCTATTCTGTTTCAGTTATAGGTCTGATGGTACCAAAAAAGATCCCCTTAAGATCAGCTCTATGGTAAGCATTTTCTATTAAAAAATTGACATCGTTTTAAAGAAGTTGGATTTTTCTTCCTTTAATTCTCTTATGATAGTGTGATAAAAGCACAAAGCTATTTTAGTTTCACCGGACTTTGTATATAGTTCTTGCTTTTTTTTTAAATTGAGAAGCTGTTTGGTTTTTAGTTTTGAGGTTTTCTTAGATGTGTTCAGCAAGCCCCTGCCATCTTTGGGACAGTAATAATTGTACTGATTAGACTTTTCTTCTGTGACTTAGTGGCCTATACTTCTCATGGCCTGCTTTCTTTTTAACATGAAGTGAAATGCTTGTCAGTCATTTTTCCTGAGGGCATACACTTGTGCATTACTTGAGGAGATTTTTAAAACTTTGCGTAGATGTCTGTCAAGAGAATTATAGACACTGTTGTAAAAATACAAGTTGAGTATTCCTTAGCTATAATACTTGATACCAAAAGTGTTTCAGATTTCTGAATTTTCAGATTTTAGAATATTTCATATATAAAATGAGTTATCTTGAGTATGATGGAACCCAACTCTAAACATAAAAATTTATATTTCATACACACCATGTACACAAAGAATGAAGGTAATCTAACTTAGTAGTTTAAATAATATTGTTCATGAAGCAGAAACCCATCACATGAAATCAGGTGTGGAATTTTCTACTTCATTGTCAGTACCAAAAATGCCCAGATTCTAGAGCATTTCTGATTTTCAGATAGGGATGCTTAACCCATATTTTTATCTTCACATATTTTCAGGATCTACTATAGGAAAAAACAGTCCCTATCTTACATAAAATTATTTTCTTGCAATAGCCCTTCTGTGCACCATTCTTACAAAATTTGTGACTTTGAGGCTTGTTAATTCCTTTTTCTTCCTTCACACAGGAAGGCATTTTTTAGATCTTGGGTTTCCTCAAGAAGTAAAACCATAATAGTTGCCTTAAATAGTGGTTCCCAACTTTTTACCACCAAAGACCCCTTTTGATGTCTGTCCCTAAAAGTTTAAAATAAATTTTCAAATGACATTTCTGTAATTATCAATCAGTTCTTCACATCTTCCGAATAGCATGCAAAAAAGTGTTATTAGCCTCATTAAGTTGATATTTCAGCCACAAACTAGAAATCTAAGTATTTTATGAGCCCAGGAGTTAGAGGTTACAGTGAGTTATGATCCTACCACTACACTCAAGCTAGAGTGACAGAGTGAGACTCAAAACAATAAAGGCAGGGTTGCGGCCAGCAAGACAGGATAGAAATGGCTATGGCCTGGACACAGAGGCACTTCTCAGTGATCATGGATGACTGGCGCCTCCCGTGCCAGACAAGCTTGGGCAGCCTGCCCCCCAGTGGCGAGCAGACCTCAGGCCTGCGCTACTCCGGGGTATAAGTGTTAAATTTCTACAATTCATGGTAGTCACCTAGTTTAAAAAAATAATTTGCTCCAGGAAAAAAAAAAAAAGAAAAGAAAAGGGAAAGAATCTAAGCATTTTAGTGCATCTTCACCATTCAGGTATAATATTTCATTTTAGACAAACAGCAAGCATTACCCCCATCCCACTTTACACGTGAAAAAACTGAGACTCAAAGAGATTCATTAACTTGCTAAAGATTATATAGGACTTTAGTCTGTATCTGTTTGATTCTAAAGCTCAAGCTCTTAACCACCAATATACTTTATTTCATATACTTCATAATAACAGCTGCCATACCAATGGGGGAATGTCAGAGATGGAACTCTGACACTCCATTGATATGTACCTGTTAAAAGTAATTCTCCCAAAGTATGTTTTTCCTTTTTTTGCTTTTACTTCTTACTGGAGCATCTAAAAAGAAAATGCACACAAGTATACAAACATACAATTTATCTATACTCATATATAGGAACTCCTATACTCTTACATCAGGTTTTTCTGAAAAAGTGTAGCTTTAAAATGTATACATTGCTAGCTCCAGTTTTTTGCAAAGTACAAACATTTATAAAACAAAACAATTCGGTGATTTGGAGAAGAAATGTCCCTAAAAATGGTTCTAGGGCCTAAAGTTCATTCACATTTTATTTATAAAAATAATGAGGTTCAAACTACAGTGAAGTTTCTTTAGTTTGGAAATAATTCTTGAACCATAGAGGTAAAATATATAAGATCTGCATATTCTCCAAATACATTCTATCATCTACCCAGGATATTTCCCAATATGTTTACTTTCTTTATGCTCAAGTCTCAGGTATCTAAAAGAGAAATTGTATTTTATGTTTACCATGATTAAAATGTTAAAAATATGGATGGAGTACATATTTAATGATCACTATTGATAGGTCAGACCTTATATAAATTGGATCAGGTATAATATTTCATTTAAGCCAAATAGTAGGCATTTTGTCTCCTACTTTATACATGAAAAAACTGAGAGTCAAAGAGATACATTAACTTGCTAAAGATTAATGTGCTGAAATCCAAGATTTTAGTCTGGATCTGTCTAACTCTCAAGCTCAGGTTCTTCTTAACCACCAGTGTACTTTATTTCATGTACTTTATACTAATGGCTGCATATCAGTGGAGGGAGTCAGAGATCATATAGTCTTTGATAACCCCCATTAATATGCGCCTGTTAAAAGTAATTCCCCCAAAGTATACTTTTCCTTTTTTTGTTTTTACTTTTTACTGGAGCATTTAAAAAGAAACCACACAAGTATGTGAATACAATAATTTGTCTATACTCATATGTAGGAACTCCTAGACTTTTACATTCGATTTTTCTGAAAAAGTTATTTTAGCTTTAAAATGAATATATTGCTAGCTCAAGTTACTGGCAAAGTTGAAAGTCTATAAAACAAAACCATTTGGTGATTTGAAGATAAAATGTTCCTAAAAATGGTTCTAGGGCCTAAAGTTTATTCTCAGTTTATTTACTAAAGTAGTGAGGTTCAAACTACAATGAAGTTTTTTACTTTGTTTAGTTCAGAAATACTTCCTGAGCCATAGAGGTAAACTATATTAGACCTGCATAATGTTTAAATATATTCAACTACTCACCCAGGACATTTCTTAAGACATTTCCTTTATATTTAGAAAATCAATAGGTTTACATTCTTTATGCTCAAGTATCTAAAAGAGAAATTTTATTTTATGTTTACCATCACAGGAAAACATAAAACTTCTTTTGAAATTTTGCAGCAATTAATGGATCCCTCCAACCCCTGCTCCATTACCATTTCTTTGGCTCAAAGGAATCACGAATCTTAAAAAGTATTATCATGGCATCTAATCATAGAAAATTAAAATTGAATGGGCCTGGAGAAATTTATAACTTTCTCATTGTACAAGGGAAGAAACTTATATTCTCAGAAACCATACCCAAGAAACAGCTTGGCCAATGTAATCTAGCCACATGCCAAGCTTTAGTGAAAAAGTAGTTTCACTAAAACTAAACTAAAATAGTTTTAGTGAAATTAAAATAGTTTCACTAAACTTCCCATCCATTGGGTTTCATCTGTACAAAACTATCTGTAGTAGGTGCTTCTTTGCCCAAGCTACTACTAAGTAACCTAGGTTGTCTCCTGAAATTTTTTGTATTTGAGAGGCAGCTAAATTAACCTTTTGACTGTGAACAATGCCCATAGGCATTCAAACAAGATGTTCCTTTGATGTGGCTCCACCTATAGGTGTTGTTCATTTTGCAGATAAAAACTTGAGGACGGCTTGGCGCCTATAGCTCAACCGGCTAAGGCGCCAGCCACGTACACCTAAGGTGGCAGGTTCGAATCCCCAGCCTGGACCCGCCAAACAACAATGACAGCTGCAACCAAAAAATAGCCGGGCGTTGTGGCGGGCGCCTGTGGTCCCAGCTACTTGGGAGGCTGAGGCAGGAGACTCGCTTGAGCCCAGGAGTTGGAGGTTGCTGTGAGTGTGATGCCACAGCACTCTACCCAGGGGGACAGCTTGAGGCTCTGTCTCAAAAAAAATAAAAAATAAAATAAAAAAAAATAAATAAAAATAAAAAAAACTTGAGGACACACGTTACTGTTATATTACCCAATTTGAGTCTGTAAGCATCACATGCTTCATTCTCAATATTTTTCACAGTTTGTACCTGAAATAATTTGTACAAATAGTGGATACTTGTGGGAGTATGTATAAATATGGAGTACAATAAATTCGAAGAGTCGTCAAGTTCAGAAGACTCGATCATTGTTGGAGAATTTGGATATAGAGGTAGCTTTAAAAATACTTCTCACAAAAAACACGAACTGTCAAATACCTCAGAATCTTGTTTTGGAAAATGAAAGTGTAGAAACTCTTTCAAATTAAAAAGAAGTCAATCCTACGCAACTTCAGTGGAGAGAAAACAATTTGAACCCCAAAATAGATGATTTTGTTTTGAGTTGTACAATACAAAAAAAGATTATTAAACTTTTATTGATAGGGTAAAGCTTTAGCATTTCATATTAAGTTTTTTTGCATATTGCTTTTTTTTATAAATATAAAATATTGAAACTGAAACCACTTGGCTGAATTTTTTTGATTAGTAAAAAGCCAAAGAACATCTAGTACCATGCCATGTATTGTTAAGGTTATTGCCAATGTTGGCCCGTTTCATTGCTGAGCGCACTTCCACAGTCAAAAGGTTAAAGTAATGGAGAAGTTACAGAGCACAATAGGTTTTTCTTAAGATAGAGATCCTGAAATTGATGGTTGTCTCTGGAGATAGCTAAGAGGTAATCGAAGATGTGATTGATTCTTGTCTGTGTTGTTTGTCATGGTTTCCTCAACCTTCAGAAGTCATAATAATGCTATCACTGATTATTTCAGAATTTGAATATTTGAAGCTAGAAATAAATAACAAGAACCTTTATTGTTTTGACGTATTTTTCTATTCCTCCTCCCTCCAAGAGCTGGGGTGCAGAAGGCTATCATCTATGGGTAATCAGCGGATTTGGTTCTCAAAACCCTGAAATTGAGTCTGACCTTAGGAGTATAGTTAAACAGCCCAGCATTCTGCTTTTTCAGTTTATCAAGAGTGTACTCACTGTAAACCCTTGTATGGTAAGTATATTTAAAGCACTGATTTTTATAGTATCTTTCATGTTAGAATTTCATAAAATTCCTTATGACATAATATAAGTATACTCCTAAAATTGGCATACTCTTTTGTGTATTTTCATGATTCTTATTTCTTTTTAATTTATATTAAATTTATACCAAAATTTTATTTCTGAAATGTTGTTTAGTCTTTTTGTTGTTTATAGGGTTATAAAAAATTCAAGGGAAAGGAATAATTTACTTGAAAAACTTGAAAAATTTAGTCTTTATCTTCATAGCATTTCCCAGAGAGATGTACTACTTATGAGAGATACTAGTAGCAGTTAAAAAAATTTTGTTTTCATGCAAATATGAAAAAAATGAGTTAAAACTATAGAAATTTCTTTATTGTTGGGCTCCACATACTTAAATATGCCAATACACATCATGAAATCCAGAAATTGGTATATAAAAGCTGTGTTATTAAACTCTGAAATTTTAAGGAACACCTTGAAGAAAATATATCTAGAAACCTGCTTTAGGAAACACTCCCCCAAATTATATACTCATGTATATCAATCTCTGAAACAATTTACACTGATGATATTATATGTCATAAATAATAATAGTGTATGTTACATGTTAAGGGTGCATCTCTTAATACCTTTCCATCAGTGGCTTTTTAATGAATGTTTGTTTTTTGAGACAGAGTCTCACTTTGTCACCCTGGGTAGAGTGCTACAGTGTTACAGCTCACAGCAACCTCAAACTCTTGAACTTAAGTGATCCTCTTGCCTCAGCCTCCCAAGTACCTGGGACTAGCGCCAGCCACTATGCCCTGCTAGTTCTTCTATTTTTTGGTAGAGCTCTTGGGTCTACTAGCCTTGCTAGTTTTTCTATTTTGGGGGGTCTTACTCTTGCTCAAGCTGGTCTTAAACTTCTGAGCTCAAGGAATCCACTGGTGTTGGCCTCCTAAGGTGCTAGGATTACACGCGAGCCACCAGTCTTCTTAATGAATATTTGATGCAACAAATTTCTAATTAAAATTTACAGCACATTGAGAAAGAATGTGAAAATAGCCTAGATCTCAGGTACCATCACTGCAGTTGAAAATTAAGGATGTACAAAAACAAAGTTTTCATTCCTCCCCTTTCCCATCCCAAGTACTAATTTAAAAACACTCCTCGGTTTTAATTTTATGTCTAGATAGCATTTGGACTCAAATGGAAAGGTGAGGGGTTAGGGTGCTGCTCCGTCTAATTTGAATAGTTAATGAAAAGTCTGTCCTCCTTTGAGAATACTAGCTTTCTAGTTGAAAACTCATAACCACGAAGAGTACTACTCTTTCTGAATATAGTGGTGCATAAGATTATTATGTAGTCTTTGTTCCCTGTGAGGAACATCAACATTTTCTGTAGTGAAACTAAACAAATATGTTACTTTCCCCTAGCCAATATTTTTATTTGCTTTTCTCCTTTGCCTTTCCCAAATCTAGAGTAACCAAGAACATGTGTTGCTTCAAGGGGAGGATCGCTTATATTTGAACTGTGGAGAGGCTTCACAAACTCAGAATCCCAGGAGTTCTTCAACACACTCAGAGCATAAGCCCAGTCGAGAAAAGAGCCCATTTGCAGATGGGGGGTTAGAGTCTCAGGGGTTAAGCACTTTACTTGGACATCGGCATTGGCATGTTGTGCAGGTAAGTCTTCAATTACTGATTAATAGTGACTTAGTCCTGGGTAAGAATATCTCCTGGAACAAATTACTAAATATTTCATCTGTTACTTCAGAAAACTATGATTCTTTTTAACTTTTTTGATTGTTGTATCTCTCTTCTGCTTTTCTGTGTTCTTGTCCTCCTGTCTTCCTTTCTTTCCACTTTATCCTCATCTACTTTAAGGACATTATTAGTGTCAGGAACTAGAAGTTCATGTTTCCTCTCTAATTGATAACTGTGGATTTTACTTTTAGCCCCCTTTTTTGGTAGAAATCTAGTTCTATGGATTTGCATAGACAAAAAATATAGTAATTTCATGGAAAGTAGCAATATCAATCAGTACCTTCCCTGTATAGCTGACATTCTAGTCCTAATGGGACCATATTGAGGTTAATCACCTGACTTTGGACCCAAATTGCAGACTTGTGATTAATAGAGAACTTTATTAATAATTTTATTTAAGCCAAGTTATTCATTCAGATACCACTTTTAAATTAGCAGTTTCTTTTGTTAATTCTGATAAATTAGCATTTAACATGGAGATTAATTATGAATATACAAATTAAAAATAATATGGGCAAATCAATACATTGAAATTTCTTAAAGGAAACTTGCATTTATAATTTCAAAGTTTTAGTTGTTTTCTTGCACCATTTTCTTGATACCGAAGTGTTTTAGGTACATCAGAGCCTACTCTGGGTTAGTTTCTTTTAGTCGGTTTCTTTCTTACTTTCTCTCAAAGTAAGATTACTTTGCCTTACTTCTCTCTATACTCTTTTTTTTTTTTTTTTTGAGACCGAGTCTCAAGCTGTCGCCCCGGGTAGAGTGCATGGCATCATAGCTCACAGCAACCTCAAATTCTTGGGCTTCAGTGATTCTCTTGCTTCAGCCTCCCAAGTAGCTGGGACTACAGGCACCCACCACAATGCCCAGCTATTTTTTTGTTGCAGGTGTCATTGTTGTTTTCGCTGACCTGGGCTGGGTTTAAACCCACCAGCCTCGGTGTATGTGGCTGATGCCCTACCCACTGAGCTACGGGCGCTGCCCCACTTCTCTCTATACTTTTACTGTACTAGCTTACTTCAGCTCCCATGTTATTTTCAGTTTGAGTGGAGATAATAAGATATAGAAAAATGGTCATGTGAAAGGTTGAAAGAGGAATATCTCCTACATTGACAAGTGGTATACACTAAAAGGAAATGTATTTATCTTACATTAATAAATTCATGAATCAAACAATGTACATACCATTTTATAAATAGTAACAATTTTTAAATAAAACTGCATCAGCTACTTCCTTGACTAAAATTTTCCACTGCTCCCTTCTCTCCTATAGCCATTTCTCTGCTATTTTCATTTCCCCATACTTTGAACTATTCATTCTACACTGACCTAGCGTCAATGCCAGTTCTGCCTAGCCAGGTCTGTGTTACCAGAGAGCCAAGTAGAGCAGAGGATCAAAGAAGGTAGGTCTGGAACTCAAAAATCCATCAGGCAATAACAAAAATTGAATTTCCTTCCAGCTCAGAAATTTAGTGATTCTGTGATTTTTAGCCATCTATGAAGCATCCTATATAAGAAGCATAAACACTGGTTTTAGGACATTAGGTGCTAGTAAGTTTCCTGAGTTTTTTTTAGATAGCCAAAGATATTTTAAAAGATGACCTTTTAAAATTTGAGTTAGTACCGAAGTTTTCTGGTTTCCTTAAAAATGATGCCACAGGGTCAGGTGTGGTTGGTCACATCTGTAATCTTAGTACTTTGGAAGGCCCAATGCTGAGGGATTGATTGAGGCCAGGAGTTTGAGACCAGCCTGGACAACATAGTGAGACCTTGTCTCTACAAATCTAAAAAAAATTTAGCTGGGCATGATAATGTGCACATGTAGTCCCTGCTACTCAGGAGACTGAGGCAGATCACTTGAAACCAGGAATTTGAGGTTGCAGTGAACTATGATGATGCCACTTCCCTCCAGCCTGAGTAATCCTGTCTCAAAAAAAAAAAAGAGAGAGAGAGAAAGAAAGAAAAGAAAGAAAGAAGCCACTGTTGTACTGTCAAAACAGTTAAATATAATAGACTCATAGAATTTTTAGACCTGGAAGGACCTTAAAGATCATATGATCCAACTGGATTTGATACATGAGGAAACTGAGGTACAAGGGAAGGTATAGACTTGCTGAGGGTCACACGACAGAGTAGTGGCAAACCTATCTGAAGAGTCTAATGTATTTTAAAATCTAAGTACTAAATGTTGAATTATGTAATATACTACTGACCTTGAGCTAAAACTTAGAATTTCCCTATTTAACAGTGTTTTTACTTGGAGCTGCCCTGACTTAGCTGGCACTGCAGCCACACGATTCAATACGTGTCGTAGTAGGGTAGTTTATATTGTTGATATAATGCTACAACTTTGCCTTCCAGGCATTTTGGCCATTAATGATGACTCCCAGAAGAAACTTAAGTGTCTACTTTAATTCTCCCTTCAGTATATCCTCTTTTCCAGGTTAAGTTACCACAGCCTCCATCAAAGTTGATTTGTTTACATGATGCATACTTTGTATGCTTCTTGTATAGCTTAGAGTTCATCAAATGAGCTCCAAATAATTCTGCCATTCTTTCTATGCTCATCTACTGTAGTGGTTTTCTTTGTTTAAAACTGATTCCTTACCTCTAAAAGTTCCTTTGGAGCTTTTAGATCCAAAGACTCTGTATGTTAATTATGTTTTTCGTTAAACCAAAATAAAACACATACAGAAGCCAGGTTAGTAGCTGTTGTAAAGATGTCTTTTCTAAAAAATAAAAAAAGAAGTCCTAGCTATAAAATTTTAAAATTTTGAATGCAGTTTAACAGAACATAAAGAATATAAGTTTTTTTAAAAAATTAAAACCATCTGGTTTTAAGCTATGTGCCTTCTCAGACTGTCATAGTGCTCAGTATTTTGTATAATATAAGCCTTTATTTTTGAAAGGTGTATGAATTCAGTGTTCTGAGAATGCTGGTTTGATAATTAACCTGGCTATTTTTCTAATCCTACAGTGTATATCCAGTATACCAGATGTGGTATTTGGCACAGATTAAATCTGCTAGGAGGATCTCTCTCACAGTTTTGTTAGTTACAAATAAAACTATTCTAGGCAAAAGACAGGATTTTAGCAGGATGACTTTTTAAAAAAAAATAAAAGATTTCCATTTCTCTCAAAGAGAAACTCAGAAATCCTGAAATAAGGATAGAGATTCTATATCCTAGCATTCAGTTTTCCAGTGATGTGGCATAACTTTTGTGCCCTGAGTATGCATACATTCATGGGCAAAGTTTCTTCATATATATTGCCTTCTCTTTCTTTGCTTCTGTCATTTACTGTTCTCAGTAACTCAGAGTTCAGATGACACATAGATCAATAAAGGTAATGTACTACTAAGGAAAAGAGAAGTTTTTGTTCTAGTCTGTATTTCATAACATCCTTAGACAAAAAAACTGCATGAAAAATAAAACTTCATGTTAAAATTAAACCTTGCCTTTTAAAAATAAACTATTTGGAGTTTTTGGCACTTCATAGACTTCTACTTGTTAAAAAAAAAATAAATTGTTTTCTCCTGTAGATATTCATCACAGTGTGATTATTTGGTAAAATTTATCTTTGGTTCCCGTGATTAGAAACCCTTGCTATTGGAATCTGGGTTTGCAGTGACATCTCAGCTCCTGCATTACCCATTCACATTTCATAAGTACTAATGAAACACCAAGGTTTGGAAGAGATGACATTTACTCTTAGTGTCACAGGTGACTGGTGCAGTTATACTTGGTACATTCATCTTTAAGTGATCACTTTGGGGTTTTTTTTTTTTTTTTGTCTCTTGTATAAAAATTGGGGTACATGTACAATTTTGTTACATGCATAGATTGTGTAGAGTCAAGGCTTTTAGAGTATCTGTCACCCAAATAACATACATTGTACCCATTAGCCAATTTCTCATCATGCTCCCACCTTCTCACCCTTCTGTGTCTCCATTACCTGTCATTCCACCCTCTACAGCTATGTGAACACCTTTTTTAGCACTGACTTATATGTGAGCACATGCAGCATTTGTCTTTCTGTGCCTGGCTTGTTTCACTTAAGAGATAACCTCTAGTTCCATCCATTTTGCTGCAAAAGACATAATTTCTTTCTTCTTTATAGCTAAATAGAGTTCCATTGGGCATATATACTATGTTTTCCTACATGAAGACTTAGGTTAATTCCTTATCTTTGCTAGTGTGAATAGTGCTACAAAAACATACAAGTGGAGATATCTGTTTGATAAGATGATTTCTTTTCCTTTGAGTAGATAGTCAATAGTGGGATTGCTGGAGTTTTTTGAGAAATCCTCATACTGCTTTCCAGAAAAACTATACTAATTATAGTTTCTCACCAATAGTTTCTAAGAGTTGCTTTTCCTTCACATCCTTATAAGTATCTGTTATTATTTTTTTTAATAATTGCCATTCTGACTGGGATAAGTTGATCTCATTTTGGTATGGATTTGCATTTCTCTGATGATTAGTGATGTTGAACATTTTTTCAAACACCTGTTGGCCATTAATTTGTCTTCTTTTGAAAAACATCTATTCATGTTCTTTGCTCACTTTTGAGTGGAATTGTTTTTTGTTGTTATCGTTGAGATGTTTGATTTTCTTTTATATTTTGAATAGTAGTCTTTGAATAAATTGCAAATGTTTTCACCCATTCAATAGGTTGTCTCTTATTCTGTTGATTATTTCTTCTGGTGTGTAGAAGATTTTTAGTTTAAGTCCCATTTGTCTATTTTGGTTTTTGTTGCCTGTGCTTTTAAACTCTTAGTCATAAATTCTTTTCTTAGACCAATGTCCAAAAGAGTTTTCTTCTAGATTTTCTCTTAGTATTTTTATAGTTTTGGGGTTTAAGTTTTTAATCCATCTTGACTTGACTTTTATAAATGGTGAGAGATAGTTCAGTTCATT